ACTACGACGAACCGTTCATTGAGGAGGTTCTAAAGTACAACCACTTGTACAATGCCTCAGACAAATTACTCAAGATGCCAAGGTCTCTGCCAACTCCTGGAGGGAGATCTGCCAGAACCTATTCGTCTTCGATGTCTAGCAACCCTAGATCCATCTCCATGACCGTGATATCTTGCAGACGCGCCATTGTTGTTTTGCAAGATAAACCCTCCCGCCAGCGCCGCCAAAGTCCTTGTGACCATCCGCCGAAGTTCTCGCGAGTTCTCGAATAGGCTCCCCCTTGTGCTTTGAAAGAAAACTGCTGTGCGTCTCTAGAAATTCCAGACCGACGGTGCAGAAGCATACCGGCAAAACTGGTTCGCAACCAGACCCAAGCGACGTTTGATATGTGCAGTTGCAGAAGTCTAATCTGCCCTTAAATTGTGCAAGACTGCTTCCACCATAGGTATTTTAGCAAGGTTGTTTGTAATTCATTGGGCTCACAACTAGATTGTGGGGCAGTGTGATAAAAATTTACACAATGACAAAACAGGTAAGAAAAGACTAGATCAGACAAACAGCTAAGAGAACCATGGTAATTCTGGGGGAGCTGCAGAAATCCGCAGCTCAGGTGGGACAATATTTTGATGTCTGTCATGCCCTTTACTTTTCATGGCAAACTGGCAGGAAGAAACAACTGTTTGAAGATGGCAAGGAAACACGATGACTCTAAACGTGAGAAAGAATTAGCTCTGGTTGGGTCAGACAAATCTAATAACACATCAGCTTAAAACAGCTTAAAACATTTTATGGTAATATTAACCATGTACTTTGGAAAAATGTAAACTAGTTGAGAGTTGAGAATACTTGTGCATGTTAATCTAAAGCGCATATAACAGGAGGTACAAGATTTTACCTTGCAGCAGCGAGAGTCCCAGGCTTTGACCACCGAGCTGTAGCCTCCGCACAGAAAAACATCCGGGCTGCTGGGGTGCACGGCCACACACATCACCTTGAATTGGTTGTCCACTTTCACAGTTGGCTGCCCTACAACAATACAAAACAATCATACCCGTTAAAAAAAAAACTACTGAAAAAATAAAAAAAAAATACGCTGCTTTTAAGAATTGGTAATCATTTAATTGTACCACTATGAATAGTATAAACTAGGCATAGAGATAGACCAATACAGTTATTTTTAGGCAAATGCTGATTATTCTGACATTTAAAAATCCCCAATATGTACTGCAGATTTTTTCTTTTTTTTTTTTTTACAATTCTTGGAGCAATAGTTATTACTTCCTCCTTCGTTTAAATGATGATAAGGACATCATGATAAAAAATGTTACACAAGCCTCAATTTAAACAAAATATATATATATATATATATATAATCATATATATATATATATATTATTGACAAACCAATGAAAACATATAAACAATGGACAAGAAATGGACAAAGTGAGAGTGCATGCACCTCACAATTATCTCAAGCCATGGCTGCTTAATGCAAGAATGAATCTGCCAATGCATCTTCTAAACAATATAAATGAAGGGCTGAAATAATAGTTTTAATGAATAAAAGGATTATCAAGGCTGAGATATTATTGTCATGGTCAGGAAATGTTCTGAAGTGGTAGAGTTGTGTAGAATTAATGAAAATTCTTCAGTGTTGTATAATAATGAGGTTTAAAACTTTAACTTAAATCTTTCTTGCAAGGATATGATGGATATTTTTCAGAAGTTGTTGATTTTTAGGAACGCAATTAGTCTTGGTATCTACAATCTTTTACTTAAAGCTTGTTCTGTATCATTTATCTATCTTCGAATGTGCACTGCAATATTGAAAATGTGTCTTATGAGGGTCTAAACATCAGCAAATTTCCATATTTTTCTGAACCTCGCATCTTCAAAGTATGTTCATTAGTTAGAAATGGGATCAAGGGTGTAAAACTCTTTGCTGCAAAAAATCTCACACTACATTCAAATTGTAATAAGGTATCTACAAAAAAAAAAACTCAAGAGTACAGTTGGGTCGTCCAAAGCCGGAGGAAATGTAATATGCATTGTAATACTTAGGTCACATCAGTGGGTATCATGCTAACGCAGCCACACAAGCAAAGAAGTTGAAAAAAAGAAAGAAGCAGGATTAGAACAATAAAAATATTACCCACTTCTCCAAATATTTTGTTGTAATATGTGTTTTCCAGCACTGTAGCCAAGGGAAGGGCAATTTAATGCAATGCTTTTTTTCAAAAGGTGCTGTAGGGGGGCAACACTGGAAAAGGACTTAGTGCCGATACTATATTTTGTACCGGTAGTTCTATGCAAATTGTAATTTCTTGTGCGTTCAGCTATTCCATGTACGTTAGCTGTAAAAAAGGATTATTTAAACTACAGCTGCTAGTGGACCATTTCAGAGTACTGCCTGCAACACACAGCTGAGGCTGTGTGTAAAATCCAAGTAAATCATTACTTTCTGCAACATTCAGGCCAGTCTGTGTGACACCAACACCCCTGCCACGTTCAAAGTCACGTTTCTCCTTTCTTCCTTTTTTCGATGCTCTCTTTGAAACGCAGCAAGTTTGAAGCTACCATGTGATTGGCTTATTTTCCATTTCTGTTAGCAATAAATTTAACAGGTGCATCGGATTAAGTGCTTCATGAACTTATATAACTCCTATAATAAATCAAAGGCCACTTTGCTTTGCATGTAAGGGTGTGTGTAGAGCACATTGTCTTTCTAGATGTAAACTCCATTTTAAAAAAAATTGGTTTCAGTCTTCAGCTGTTAGCCTTGTTTTTTTTTTTTTTTGTTTAACAGTTAAATCTGTAAAGGACTCATTATACCTTTTTGAAATAATACAACAGATCTTTTACGATAATCAAATAAAGGATTAAAAATCACTTGAGGATCAAAGATACAGTTAATCTACAGCTGCCAAAGCACTGATGCGAATGTTTAAATAGATTTATTATTATAGATAAATAGATTTAGTTTCTCAGCTCCTACTATTCAAAACAAAACAAATCACACAAAACACACCATAACAAGTTTTATACAGATAGAAAAGCATGCTGTAGTTATCAGTTTCTAAGATAATGATGAAACTTATGATGGGGGAGAAAAAAATATATAGAGAAAAAAAACCCTGTTATGGCTAGAGGCTGTTTGATCTATGTTGATTTAAAACTGTCACACATAAAATTAAAACAAGAGCACAGAGGAGCTTAAATATAATTAGTTCTGACAGGGTGGGACCAGAAATTTGTTTTTTGAGAAAACATGAGGCCAGACTACAAGCCACCAACTCAAAAGGTTGCTCAGGGCTCAGTGGCTCCTCATTAATTCATCGAACAAACAACAAAGACCCACCCAAAATCCTCTGAAGCTGTTAGCCCTCAACGAAAACACTTTATTATGCATTTTGCCCGGCAAGTGTTTCTAAAGCAGATGAGTGAGTCATAGACTCTCACTTCATGGTAAACTAGTTTGGTCCAAAATGTGACCCAGCAGATCCGAACCCAACTTTTTAACAGGCTCTCTCATCAGCTCCACACTTCATGCTTAATTGGCTTCCCCACAGCCAAGATCTCTAACGAAGATTTGAAACTCATGTTTGGAAAGACATTGAGAACTCACTGTTTACCTTGTAATAAATGGAGCATCCTCATGTTTTAATTAAGCAATATTAATTAGCTGTCTCAGAATGATAGATAAGCTAACACAGGGGGTAATGCATCCTCTTCTTTATCATAGTTTAACATAGAGCTGACATGCAGTTGATGACTGTAGATACGAGGACATATGGTGTGACTTGGAGAGCAGCAATGGTGCCCCTCAGGGTAGAGAGGCACATAGATGAAACCCTCGCCAGATTCCAGCGAAGACCAAGATTATGAAAAAGTAGCATTAGTAAACTTTTCTAAAAATCTTTGGATTGGCCCAAATTTCCTTTATTATTTTCTTATTCTATTAAGATTTAATGTGTTTAGTTTGTTAAAACAAGAAGAGCATAATTTTTGAGCAGAGTGAAAAAAATATGAACATTTTATATTTTTTGCTTTACAGAACTAAATGAGATTTGGAAAAAAAAAAAAAAGCAGCAAAAAAATATGTCTTTGAATTCAATTCAATTCAGTTTATTTCTATAGTGCCACTTCACAACACATGTCATCTCATGCACTTTACAGTTCACCAGATCATACAGTCAAATTGATTCAAAGCTTTCTATCTAAGGAAAACCAGTTGATTGCATTGACTCATTGACTCATCAGCAATCCCTTACACTAAGCATGCTTGTGACAACAGTGGAGAGTAAAAACTCCCTTTTAACAGAAAGAAACCTCCAGCAGAACCAGGCTGAATCTAACCACCCTCCAAATGTGGAAATCTTTCAAATTCCTTCCACCTGAGGTGTGGATGCCTACAGATCCTCCAGTTACGATGACCCTACTGGCTGTTCTGTTTAACGGTCTCATGCCTGGGATTTTTTGTAAGGTTCTCTTTCTATCTTCAGATAATGGACCAAAACGTCTCCCCTACCTGTCTGACATGATTCTGTTATATCTTTAATTTGATCTAACAAAAATCTCAGGACTTCAAAGAACAGAGTTTATATTGTTTATATGAAATCACACGGGTGGAATATGTAAAAAGTGAAAGTATTCATACCCCTTAAACATTTACACATCTGGTCAACAACAAGCTCAGCTGCCAAACACATAGAAAGTCCTCTCAACTGTATCTAATGTCACACTGTAGTAGAGACACAATTGGATAGATAAAGAAGGAGGGAAAAAATTATTTATGATATATAAATTTGTTCCAAAAAAAGTAAAAAAAAAAAAAAAAAAAAATCCACTGGACTTTGTTTCCAAGTTTGAAGATGTTTCGCTTCCCATCCAGGAAGCTTTTTAAAATGTCAGAAATAGCGTTAAGTTTGAGGTTTTATACAGTAGCCCATCAAAATTTTGTTTTTGTTTTGAAAACATGCAAACTGAAATGGACGAATGGGTCCACCGCTTTGGAATGGGGGTCTTTTGTAAGCCTGCAATGCCCCATACCCATCTAAGTGTCTGAAAGGGAGTTCGTTGAAGGGGATTGTTGGCCTGGCTGAATAGGCAAGGTCTTCTGCTCTCCTGTACAGAGGTTGGGGTTGCCATGTTAACGGGAAGGGATCAACTCAATTGCTGAATTGTAGGGTTTTGAAAGCTGAAAAATGAAATGTTTTCAAAACAAAAACAAGGTTTTGATGGGCTACTGTACCTCAAACGCATTGCTACAGCATTCCTGAAATTTTGAATCGAAAAAGCTTCCTGGATGGGAATCGAAACGTCTTCAAACTTTGAAAAAAGTTTTTTAACCTTTTTTTGGAATGACTGTGACCTGGATGACTGGGAATCTTCACCAGCACATATAAATTTGTTTTTTGTTTTTCATCCAGCTGATCTCCATAACAGTAACCGTACACATTTCTGCATCTGGAAAAAAGATTCTTGATTAACCATTCATGCAATCACCTCAAGAATGATGGAGAATCTATAGTTTTTAAATGACATTATTACTATACATAATGCATTATTACAAATCTGAAGCTTTTATTTGAACTATTATAAATGTGTCTAATTCTTGTTAATACAAGGGCAGCCTCTCATACTGAATATTCTTGAAAAATGAAACATATTTGACTTTATTTGTCAGCATGATCTGTTTTCCTGGTTATTATTTTAAGTTCATGCCAGACTTCAGTTTGTTTTGTCTTTCGATGCAGTATGGAGCCTGCTAACTCAGCAAACTTTCCTCTGTTTGTGTTTGGTCATACTAATAATCCATTGTCCTGGGAAAAAGAGGCGAGAACAAATCCAAAAAATAAACATCAGACCAAGAGCCTTTGAGCCCAAAACTGACCTCAGGCATAAACAACAACTCTGTGTGCCGAGATCCTCCATCAATCCCTCAGTTTGAAACCGCCTGCCTGCATCATTCCCCCAGTTTGAAGGCTGATGGCACAGCAGGTCTGTATTCCCTTAGGATGGGTCAG